TAATTTATTTTTTATTAACATGAATTTGTTTCTAGTAAAAATAAACTTATGAAACTCTATTAATTAATACTAACAACAGTTTTGAGGAATTAATTTTGTTAATTAAAGTACTGTATATGTAAGGAATTAATTAATAACAGCGGAGTCACCGCTGTCGCCGTGATCGAAAACGGTCAGGACTGATCATTCATCATCCTCACTGCTAATAAATTAGATCTCATTTTGTAGTTCATTTATACCGTAGTCCATTGTCGAAATGTCAGTTACATTCATAAAATATTACACCATTTGTCTACATCATGGCATACCAATCTTGGTCCGATCGATAAGTGTAAATTATTCTTGCAGGTATATAAATAAAAATAACTTACTAAATGTGTTGCCGTGTAATCCTAGCATAGAATAACCCACCTCCTTCCTTCCTTGTAGGTAGGTATTCCTTTCTTGTAGGTGTCGTAAGAGACGGCAACAGAAATTTAACTATTGGGGGATAGGCAGTAACTATTATCTTAAAACATCACTAAAAGCTAACTACGGTTGTCGACCTGCTTGCCAAGCATGGCAGTTACTAACAAAACCACTCTTTAATAAAGCAGGCCTCTGTCATTGAATATTTGATGGCTTGAATCATAATGCTGATGAAATGTGTTTCTAACTAAAACTCGAGGATGGCAAACTTTTTATTTCAAGTATATTAAAAAAAAACATAGACGTAGTGTAAAATTTAATTAAGTAAAATATTAAAAGATGTAATGTAATTATTATTTAACAGATATACTGGCAATACAGTCATAAAAGCGAGATAAGAAATCACGTGACGGTTTTAAGTGTACGTGGAATGGATGTTGCAAAAATAGCAAAATTCATGTACTTATATCAAATACGTAATATAGATTGGCAATGTAAAAGAAAGAAAACATAATAACACTGATGTAATAATACAATAACACATTAAAGCGAGATAGACAAGTAGGACACTCACACAATATAAGCTCGAAGCTGATTTGTCGGGAGAGTGAACAAAACAAGTTGTAATTATTTTTACGTTTGGAAGTGGAATTATTTTTAAAGTATTGTAGTAAGAATTGTGCTGGATCTGGATATAACATAAATTAAAAAAAGACCTAGGAAAATGCACACATTTCACGCAATTTCACTTTAAATATTTATCTCTTTAAATGCAATATTATAGAATAAGCAAAAATATTTTATAAAAGAATTGTTGGAAAAACATATCCATCCATATCAGCCGTTAACGGTCCACTGCTAAATATACATCTTCCTCTACTGGCGGAGGGGAAGGGGGGAAATTAGTTACTACTATACAGAAAAACATATAATTTAACCTAAATAAAATTCTGAAGGTAAACAAATTAAAATTAAAATTGTAACAAATACGTGAATTCTTACTATTTTTGCAACTTCACTTCCATATAAAGTTTTCTAACTTACTTTTCTAACTACGAGACACGGAGAGTAGTGTAACAATTTTCTTCTCTTTTTTGAGATTGCATTGCCAGTCTAACAGTGCTTAGTACGTTATACTACGTCTATGGTATAATTAATTTTTTTTTCTGGCATGGGCGAATAAAACACATACATAAGGACATTGCAGTGTCTTTGTAATGTTCATATATTGCAATTTATTAGGACTAATATGTTATGTTTCTGTATCCATAATTTCACTATCATACCTTCACACTTCAAACAAAAGCATGCTCACTTGGCGACAGGAACACGTGTGGGCTAAAAGTACCGCATGGGTAATTTTATATGAAATCCCCTTAAGCAAAACGTTAACAGTAATTCAAGTTGTTAAAAGTAATTTTGATTCATTATATTTTTCGGCATTTTAGAAGCGTTTCCTTTACGCACGGTTACTTCGCAGACATTACTTTGATTTTCAATAGACATTAATGTTGCGGTGAAGCGGTATATAAATTTATTACAATATTCACTAGTAGGTCGTTTCATTAATATGAAATTACCTTTGTATTCGAACGTTGTTAAAAAATTACTTAATATATATATATATATATATATATATATATATATATATATATATATATATTATAAAATGGCCGTGTGGTTCTGGTATAGAATAGGCCACCCTTTCCTTTTCCGTGGGCATCGTAAGAGCCGACTAAAGGAGGGGAACTCTTACACATTTAAGAAGCAAAAACAAAAAAAAACTCAGTTACAAATTCACAGATAGATTTTTATAAAAGATACAAGAAGATTTTATTGCACAAAAAAAAAACACCGACCTCAATCATGGCAAAATCAGTTCTTTTGATTTAAAAACTTCACTATTGAATGATTATGGCGTTGATTTCTGTTGATTTTTGGTTTATTTGTTGCATTTGCTTGTATTATAAAGAAAATATTTTGATAAAAATTCTACGGAACCAGTCTGAAAGATAAAAAAGAATTTTTTATATTGGCTTACCATCATCTTCCTATCTTTATCCTAATTACTATTTGGGGTCGGCGTAATATGTTTTTTATCCATATTACAAAAAGATTTGGCTAATAGTTTTATGACCGGCCGCCTGCTTGACGTCAATCCTTTTTGGGAATGCATTTGTTGGTGGTTTCCGCCACCGCCGGTATGGAAGAAAGGATTGAGGAAAAAGAAGAGAACGTTGGAAAAACGTAAAGGAAATTGGTAAATAAAAAGAATAAGAGATTTATGTGGGAAAGCAAAGGAGCGGGGCACTTCAGTTGCGGAAAGGATTGCGACATTGCGTCAGCTACTGTCAGTCAGTCAGTCGTCTGTCACTGTGTCTAACGTCAGGGGTAAGAACACCCTGACGCTAGAAAATTCTAGACTCTAGAAATCTGACCCATTCTAGAATAAGGGCATACAGGGCGACCCCGACCTCTCGAGTCGCTGCAGTTTATATTGGCTTATAAATGATGGAATTTTGAAATAACAAATATATAACTTATTTAGTTTAATTAAATAAAAAAATAAAAAATACAACCAACCATGCAACCAATGCGGAAGTACTCGTATATCCTTCGATTCGAAATTGATGAAGATTAAAGATATCGCGTGAAATATATAAAAAAAATGCAGTTAAAATCATTCTCATATGGAATATTAATTTTTACCCGAGACTTAGTCCATATGATTGGCATATATTGATTAACTTGGTTAATGCTTCGTATGTACTAAATTTGATCACGATTGGATGAGAATTTACAGCGTTAAAACATTTCATAATAATTTAATTAAACAATTAATTTAAAATACGGATGATAAGAAATATCCACTAAGTTGAAACATTCCTTTTGTCAGTGTAGAAGTGAGATTTGCAGTTATTAAATGTTAATAATGTCGAAGTTTTGACCTTTATACTCGTAGAAATTAATAATAAGTCACTGTGTAAATTTTAACTCAGTGGGTCTAAATAAAGGTTGAGTTTAGTTACAAAGGACTATAATTTAAACAAATTATAAAGCCATTATCTTCGTAGATATCTTAGTAGGTTGGCTCTTTTGACTATAGACTTATTATGCTGTGTTAGTCATAATATACTAATTCACGAAATTTAAAAACTTATCCAAGAATCAAGAAGCATAGGTGAAACTTAAGTAGATATTTACCCAAGAACCCGGAAGTATAGGAGAAATTTAAGTAAATACTTTTTAATCTTTCATACTAAATCAAAGGAAACAACAATACAAAACAATCACAAAATACAAACAACAAACAATTGTGAAAAGAAACAAAAACAATTAAACAACTTTCAGGAACGACAAATATACGTGTAGCAATTAAGTCCCCGCTATCCATTTATAGTATATCATAAAAATGATCACGTGACCTTGTGTTTATAAGAAAAGTATATAAAATATTTTGAGATTTCTATTAATTTTGTTCAATGGAGCGAGTTGTTCATTTTTATAGATTAGTAACTTTTTTATTTTTATATTTATACTTTACTTCGTACGTATTAATTTCAGAAGTATTACAAATTTTGCGTGATGTTGGGATAAATATAGATATATACATATATATACAGATAGATTTTCTATAAATTATTATTTTGGCATCTATTAGTCATATTAAGATCCTTCATATTAATTTATCTTAAATATCTTCCATGTGCAGATATCGTCTACAATTCTATTATATAAGTAATATTTTCCAATTTTTTACAAAAATAATTTTGTTTTATGCATATAGTCATTGAGTTGCGACTTAGTATACTTATTCCCAGTAATCCGTAATATACGAATTCAAAATCAAAAGGTGTATTGACTTTTCTTATGCAACTTGTAATGGACAACAAGATGATGGTGACAGCTTACCTGGTGGGGGGCAAGAGATTGTTCGTAATGGGGTCTAACTTACTTGCCCATTGCTAGAAATATACCCTGTATTGCTAGCAATGGGCAAGTTATCAAGTCGACTTCCACGCGGTTCCCCCTGGAAACTATCGTGGTTAATTCTATTCAAATTCGTCACGATGGGCTAACGTACCTGCTTTTATCATAACCTATCATCACCGGTACCCCGCAAGCACATACCGATAGCGCAAGTGGTGTTACCAATCCATTATCACCCATTAAAAAAACCTCACTTGGTGGAAAGTGGTGTTATAAATAGTTAATTTTAAAATCTGAATTAATTTACTTAACATTATATATTTTTTTAAATTTCTATGTAATGTTTCTTTACATATATTCAAAATATTCCACTCTAAATATGTCCATTCTTCGGAAATGACACATACTTAATATACCTACCTACTTGTTTGTATATTAGACCATTTGTTATTGAGATTTATTATATAAAGTATGCAACAAACCGAAATAACTTCTGGTTACGAATTTATTTGTTAATTTTGTCCCTTAAATTAAATAGCTGTTTGTTTGTGTGAAATAAATCGTACCACAAATACTTCCCTTCGTGGAAAAACAATTATACAAAACATAGCACTGTTTTATTATTGAAAATGTAATCTAAATAAAATCTCCTTTTTTTACAGCTCACCGAAGAATGCGGACTGTGACCAACTACTTCTTAGTGAACTTATCCTTCGCTGACCTCATGATGGCCTCTCTCAACTGCCTTTTCAACTTTATTTACATGTTGCATAGGTGAGTGTTATATATTAATAGCGAACCGGCTCGATTGTGGGGAAAGGAAATGTTAGTAATGGAAATATAGAAGCCCTATTGTCAGCAATATACCCTATCAGGTCGACCTCTACGCGGGTTTTCCTGGAAATCATCTTGATAAACTCTTTATTAATTCATCACTATAGGCCAACTGATCTGTTTTATTCTGTTATTTCTCACTGGTACCCCGCCAGTATATATTGATAGCGCAGGCGGGGTTACCATTTCATTTTCATTCATTAAAAAATCGCACGTTTTTTTTTTAAATATATAAGTGTATATGAAAATCCCAATGCTAATGGTTTACATCGGGTTTTCTCCTTGTATTTCGCGCACGGGAGGATAAGTTTTTCAATAATAATAAATATCCTATTTTGCTTGCTAACAACGTAGCTTTCTATAGGTGAATGCTTAGCTTCGCACGTGTTGGCAGAATTTCCAATAAAAATAAATAGCTTATTTTACTCGTTGATAAAGTAGCTTACTATAGGTGAAAGAATTTTTAAAATCGATTGAGTAGTTTTTGAATTTATCTATTATAAGCGAACGATCAAATATTTCCTCTCTATAATATTAGTATACATATTATTATAACAGCTATTAACTGTTCACTGCTGGACATAGGCCTCCCCCATAAGGGGGATTTTACCAATAGTTATGCAGTTTGGTAGGCGGGTTGGCAACCGCAGTTAGGCTTTGGTGATGTTTTAAGAGGGACTCTGTTGTCCATCTTAGTCGCTTCTGACGACATCCTAGTATGATATTCGGTACAACAGAAAAAACTTTATATGCAGTGTTATTTTATTCTTTCATGGTTTGTATTTTTATTAAATAGCTAGACGTCATATGAATTTCTAACATAAATTCCTGTTAGAGGCGTGAATATTATGGTGAATTTTCGTATCATTTTTGCAGTCAAAATGCCGTATCGTAATGTAATATTGTTATTTATTACACAGTAGATATTATCGTTTCACGCCACATTACGTTTCGTTCGCAAACCGATTTATCTTTTACTATAACGATAGTTAAAGTCAAAATGTATCTCTTCTTACGTATGAATAAATAGGAAGTAATATGAATTGTGTTCTACAAAAATCATACTTCAATAGTGGCAAACCAGTTATTTTGATTTAAAAATTGTACTATCGAATCGATTTTGATAAAATTTCAATGGGATATAATGTATAAAGGTAGCGCACTTTTGCTCTACTTATCTCAGATGTAATAAACAGGTTGACTATTTTGACAAAAGCTATTAGGAACAGTTTGTATAGAAAAAAGAAAAACGGAGTTTTTACATTCTTGCGAGCAATTTCCTCGGACTTCAAAGAATATTAAAAAAATTCCACTGCCATGGTTGCGTGTTGTAAATTAAAAAAATAGCCGAGTATTAGCAGCTTGTGGTCGGTGCTTAAATAGATTTTCATCATCTTATTAGCCATCTACTGTCCACTTCTGAATATAGTCCTCGCTAAAAGCAGGGTTTTGCCAGTACTTGTCACGCTTGGCAGGCGGATTGACAACCACAGTTAGGCTTTGCTAATGCCCTAAGAGGAACGCTGCCGCCCATTCCTCGACTATTAAGTTCTCTTAAATAGACTTTATCTTGAATTAAATACATAGGACTTTTAATTTTTAATTACGCAGGCAAAGCCGCAGGATAAAACTATTTTATAATATAATCCCTATGAGCATTTAGAAGCGTCTTATTATCTTATATTATTAGCATTAAATAACTAAATATTAATCTCTTGCTTGTTTGTAAACATAAGATCTCGGATTCACAGTTTACAGTCAACATAAAGTGAACTAATTCTATGTTTAGAATAAGTATAATGGCTGATTTATTATTTATATATTTATACTTTACTATACACAAACATTACATTGTTATAATTTTGAATAAAGATGTACAACAGGCGAGCTTAACTCTGTAAGAGTTCTCTTTCAGTAAACTGAGTGGAATGGAGTGTTAATTACCAGCAGGCAGCGTGCATGCAATAAGAAAAGGAAATAGTATGGTTGTTTCTACTAAGAAATAATAAATATGCATACCTAAATATAAACCAACTTATAGACTTACATTCAAAATACATAAATATCTGTATATAGTAATACATATATATGAAATATTATCTTTACATATACAAAATACGTACATATACATACATAAATATAATTGGTTTATGAGGACAGAAGATGCTCTTTTAATCAGCTCTTGAAAATATTCAGCGATTGACTCTATTTAGTAAATATAGATAGATATATAGATAGATAGATAGATAGATACTTTATTGTTTCCTCCAAAAGATTACAATAGTAAACTTATTATAAATATAAATAATTACAAGAAATAATCACAATGAGAAAACAATGGGCGACCTTATCGCTAAGAGCGATCTCTTCCAGGCAACCTTTGGATGGAGAGGAGTAATTATAAACAATTTGGTGGGAGGCACGATGAAATACAATTTTTTGTTGATGTTTGTTTATCAATCTTGCTTAAACGAATTTATGGATTTGAATGAAATAATGGTTCACAGGTAGATTATATATTAACAGATACGGGTAAACAACTAGTTTTTTTAATAGGTGATAATGGAATAGCAACCCCGCTTGCACTAACAGTATACATTAGCGAGGCACCAGTAAAGGGTGATAGGTGAGAATGAAGTAGGTCAGTGGGCCCATCGTAACGAATTTAACAACAAATCAGTCACGATAGTTTCCAGGAAGAAGCATGGAGGTCGACCTGATAGGGGCATATTGTTAGCAATGGGGTTATTAATCCAGATTACTAAATCCCTTTTCTCCTCGAGTGGAAAACTAGTTTAATTATAACAATATAAACGTCTTACCTTGCACTAGCGTGTATTGTTGTTATCGCTTTTCATAATATATATATCTATATTATATCTTATGTGTTTATACAATGTACGCAGATTGTATGACTGCCTATTTTTTTTTTAAATAACATCCAATTAAGATGAAAAGGTTTGCTGGAAGAAATCTCTTATTAGAGACAAGGTCGCCTTTGTACATTATGTTTATAATCAATTGTGGTTAACATTATATTTTGTGTACAATAAAGAATATTCCGGGGACACAGGGAATTGGCGGTATATTGTATCTCTACCTCTATACTATATATTGATTAAAAAAAAAAACCAGAAGTATTATAATAATTTTTAAGAATGGAAACGTATGAGAGATACTGTTAGCTTGTATGTCATACTTAAATATCATAAAAACAGTTCTTTAAAATCCTATTAATATTTATAACGATGGATAGATGGATAGTTGTTTGCGACTCTTTCACGCTAAAACTACTGAATAAATTTCAATGCAAATTTGGTATTTGGTTACGTTAAATGTTACTAGAACACAGAAGATATTTTATTCACTGATTCACGCGATCAGAGTCGCGGTATACAGCTAGTATAAAAATAAAGAAAGTAACCTCAATATAGTTTTACGTAATAGCAACAAACAATCAGTTGTTTTGATATTATAAATGATAATATTCCTAAAGGCACATTCTAAGGTTAATCTGTCGTTTCATGTACAGGTACCTACATACGTGTTTAGTTTTAACATTCATGATTCTCGTTTGTATTCAGCGGAATGTTCTCGAATACGTGTGCAAACAAAAAGTAAATAGATTAAATACGAATTTAGGGTGAAACGAACAGGATTTGGTGGTTTGTGATATGTGATGAAATTGTTACATATATGTTTACTTACTGTTTAATTTTAGAATTTTCTCTTTGAAATAAAAAAAAAATAAATAACGACTTCAAGCACAACTTTGATATAAAATAAATAAAGGAGTAAATCATTTCGATTGTAAACAGGACAATATATTTGAATTCATTTCATAATCAGAACTGGCAAATTATCGCATAAAAATATTTATATATAAAAATAGAACTAAAAACCTCTCTTTTTGTGAGTTAATTAAAAATATTAAGATTTAGGTTTGATATATGAATATTAAATTATTATTATTATTACTGGAGTAGCTGTGCTCGCAACATCGTTCGCTCGGTTGTGAGTATGAATGTGGATCTAGATAAAAATTATAATAATGCTTCTTTATACACGACATTGGATGTATTAGCATCGGTGATTAAAACATATAGCGCCATCTAGTCCAATTATAAGCAAAACTTATAGTATTGGATATAAGACAACTGACAGAAGTACATAAAACTTTTTTAATACATACATGTTATTGTAAATTGGACTCTATTTTCCGGCCTTAGCCTCTCATAATACATACATATTATATATAAAGAAACCACTCGAACCAATATAAACAATCATATCATCACATACTCATGAATACAAATATTTGTATTGTACGGGGATTGACTCCGCGACCATAAAAATATGTCTTAGTGTTAAGCTGCCGATGGTCGTTAAAATAGGTACCAGGCTTACATTAAAAAAATATGTCACTATTATATACTTTTTATGAAAATGTACATTTTAATATTGACAAAATTATTACAAGATCAGATGGAAATATCAGGAATCAGAGGACCATTAAATGTTTTTCGAAATTGCCGAATGAAACACAAATTTTACGTTAAAAATACATAATAATACGTTTATTATATAAAAATGTTAAAATATCATTCCTTTGAACTTTTACGGTAGGATTTACATATTATAAATGAAACGTTAAGCTCCATTTAATTAATATCTGATTTTGGTATGAACGAAAACACGAAATGGAGATCGAAATTTTTAGATTTTATACATTTTTCACCGCATCTGCCCTTTATACGCTTTCTGTTTTTACCTAATGGTTAGCTGGTAGAGAATGCCATATGGCCTTCGCCACTTGTACAAAGTTTTATTGTGCAATAAGGAATAAATAAATAAATAAATTTCAGAATTTCATTTCATAGTAATAAATCCTCAGTACATAGTACAAGGAACAGTTCTTTATACTGTAATCAGTATGAGAT